AGAAAAAGAATTTTAATAAAAGTTCCAAGTTACCTTCTTTTTCTCTTAGTTGGTAGAGTTTATAAAGACTGGGTATAGCAAGTAGGTTTCATCTTGAGTTAACTCCAATGTGAAGAACATAGCAAATGAAAACAGGGCTGACAGCCCTAGGCGTGTGACAGGGAGCAGTAATAAGCATGCCTCTGAGTATGGTGGGCAGTGAGGTTAGAACACCACCACACACTGTCTACTGTTTCCTGGAGACCCCACAACTATATGGGAAGAAGGCTCTTCTTTGAACAATACATTTTCTGTCAACCTAATGGACAGGCTGATAGCCCAAATTTTGGCACCAAAACAGATAAAGAAAACAATAATCTATGCACTGGTAAGATCACTAAACACAGCCCTGGAAAGCCTATACTCTAGTCCCAGGTTCTCAAGGGTCAGCTGTGTGCCCCCCCCCCCAGCTTGACTGCAGGAGATGGAGTGTGGTAGGGAAGGAGTAGTAGGGGAGGAATATTCGCTGGCCTTGAACATAGGGCTAGGCCTCATGAACTCTGAGAAAGATAACTAATTTCCCAAAGACAGTCACCTTTTCACCACAGCTGATACCACCCACACTCACGCCCACTCTTCCCAGTTTCTAGAGAAAACTCTAGAAGGTCACATCAAGTTAATGGACCTGGACCTGCTTCTTATGCAAATCCCAGCTGCTTTATTACAAGAGTTTCGGTTCATTTGAACTTTCTGGGTGACAATCATTCTCCTTTCCAATCGCGTTTCTAATCCCTGCAATTTCCACAGTGCCAGTAATTATGAAAGAAGTCTGAGGCACAGGTGTTCTGCATCCTGTCTGTGAATTACACACTTTAGTGGAACTTGCTGAGTGTATTCTGCAAATACTGAGTGGGGAGACTCTGAGAAGCTCCAGTGGTCAGGAAAGGATGGTTGGGCCAGCTTTTCCCACCGTGGTTTCGCAGCAACAGCATCCACAATCTGCCACAAGGGATCCCCCAGGGCTTAACATCCCTCTGAGGGAGGACTTTCCTGTCTAGTCCTGAGGCCCACAGGAGTCCATGTGACCACAGGGCCCGGTCCATCCTCCAGCATCAGTTCTATCAGTGATGAAAGGAGATTCATTCTCCACTGTGAATTCTGACACTTGGACTGAGAAAGGGAAACTAGTGCCATTATTGTGCCCCAAATTGCAATGTAATTATTGTAAGAATAAAGCACTTGGCCAACATCCAACCTTTAGTGGTATAAGGGAACTTAATCCTATGGATAGGCAGGATCAGGAGGTGGACAACTGCCCCAAGTCCCAGGGCCATGGGACTAAAACATAGCAAAACTCGAGTGTGAGTATGGACCAGGGTCAGTAGAAGGATGGGCTGAGAGGCAAGCATGAAAGAGAGGCTACCAGCAGGGATGCTGAATACAAGGGTACAACTCTGGCATCTCTCAGACCTGAGTGGAGTCCTCTAAGGAAGGCAACTCTCTTTGCCTTCAAAACTCCACTAACCTTCCCGGAAAATTGAACAAGGGAGTTTAATGAACAGTGACAAAGATGTCACAGGGAGCATCCGGGCCCTTACACTCTGCAGTGGCTTCATAAATGAGGGCTGCTGCTTTTATTCTTAATTAAGTGGAAATCCAACATCGCCCACCACGTCATTTCTCAGGCTCCCCTTTGGCCTCCTGGCCCAGTTTGTGTCCTCTTGTCTTGCACATCTGCAGTGCTGTGCTCTGCCTCTTTCCAACCCTTATCTCCTGTGACCATTCAGCAAGACATGGGGATGTGAGGAGATTCAGATATGCTTCGCAGACTGGATTGACACACCACAGCTGTGGGCGTGTCTCTGCATAACTGACTCATAGGCCAGCAAACAGAGAGGGGAAGACCCACCTGGGTGGGGCTATGGGTGGTGCCGACACACAGGCTGGTCACCTGGGTGGGACGGCATGAGAGAGAAAGCAGGAGGCGTGCCTGTTTTGAAGGACCCGGTCTTCCTGAGCTGGCATGCACTTGCTGCTCTTGCCTTTAGACTTCACTCTCTAGGCTTCCGGTTTCTTCAGCCTTCCAATGCCAGCTCCCACCAGCAGTTCTCCAGGAAGCTTCCAAGCCTTTGACCTTAGGCTGCTACCGCAGCCTTGATCCCCTTGTTCAGAGACTTCCATATTCTTGGGCTGAACAGCCACTTGATCATCCAGCTCTCAGGCACACAGACAACCATTGTGAGTTCTCCCACCTCTGATCCTATAAGCCAGCCTAATAAATCTTCCTGCAAAATTGTACATATATGTATTCTATTAATTGTTTCTCTACAGAACCTTAGTACATTGCCCTTGTTCTGTATCTGTCTCCATCTCCAGGACACCTGCCCCAAGGAGGCAGGCACAATGCCCTTCTCAGATCTGCCTTGTCCCCTAATGCCTGGTGCATAGTGGGTACTCAATAAATATTGCTGAAGAAATTTTGCCATCATCTGATGCTGAGGGCTACAACAGCAACACATACAAAGAGTTGAGGGACCCCTATAGTCATAGAGGATGCTATGATCTAAATGTGCCCACCTACCAAAAAAATCATATGTTGAAGTTTTAACCTCCATAGTGTAATCTGGAGTAAGTTCTTTGAAGAAGTGCTTAAGCTAAAATCTGGTCCTTAGGATGGGCAGGAAAACTTTTCCTTACAAGAGGAAATTTAAACACAGACTTGAGCAGCACAAAGGGAAGGTCATGTGAGGACACAGAAAGAAGGTGGTGGCCTTCCACAAGTCAAGGAGAGTGGCTCTGAGGAACTCAGATCTTCTGAGACCCTGATCTTGGACTTTCAGCCTCCAGAAGAGTAAGAAAACAAGTTCCTACTGTGCAAATCACCTAGTCTGTGCTGTTCTGCTATGCAAAACCATGCAGAGAGCTTCCTGGAAGGATGAGTATCAGCCAGATCTCCAGAGTGACACAGCAGAAGTGAGTCCAGGCAAAGGAGACAGGGTAGGTGTGTTAGGATCCAGTTGGCTAGGTAGAAGGTCAAGGCGAGGAGAAGCAGAAGGGTGCTCAGCATGGGCCCTGGCAAACAGCTTCAAACAGCAGGCCCAAGAGACATTAGCCTAAGAGATTTTGGTTTGAGATCTTTAAACTCTTTTCCCCACAAACCTAGTTATGTTATGTGTATGAACTCATTAAATCCTGGAAGCCTGGGAAAGAGGTGTCACCATCATCTCCTCAACAGTTGGGGAAACTGAGATGCACAGAGCTTAGGTATGTTGCCAAAGGCACAGAGCCATTATGTGATGGAACAGGGCTCCCAAGATCTGGAGCCCAGAACAACACTGTTCTGCAGCAGTGGAGGGACAAAGTCAGACATGATTCTAGAAAAAGACCTCTGGTTGATTTGGGGATGCAAAGCTGAAACCCAGTGGTAGGTATAGAAGCAAGTGGCCATCGTCTGGCAAAGACTGACCCAGTGAGAGCAGCCACTCTACTGGATCAGAGCTGGCTATGGATCATCACCTGACTCAAATGTCAATAGGCCAGAATGGTGCCACATGCCTATAATCCTAGCACTCGGACAGTGAGGCAGGAGGATTGCAAGTTCAAGCTTAGTCTGGGAAAGACTAAGACCTTGTCTCAAAAAAAAATTAATTTTTTATATATTTAGTACAGGGTCTCACTACACAGACCAGACTCATAGTGATCCTCCTATTTTCAGCCTCCCAAGCACTGGTATTTTACAGGTGCTCACCATCATGCCCAGTCTAAAAAATTAATTTTAAAAATGGTGGGCTAGAGATGTAGCTCAGTATGAAAGTCTTGGGTTCAATCCCTGGACTGAAAAGGGAAAAGAGACCAATTTTCCAAATTACCCAAGGAAAGCCTCCATGCATGTGATTAGGGGGAGAATGCACTCCTTAGCAGCACTACTGATGAAGACTTCAGCTTAGAAAAAATGTCAGAAAGGTCTATGTCATAAGACAGTGACACTGGAGTCAGAGTATAATGAGCAGGACCAACAGAGACTTCCAGAAGCAAGACCTTAAGACCTGCATCAGGCAAGACTGATATGGTTCTTGTCCACATGGAGCTCACACTCTCAAGGGTCCCTGGATCAAGCAGAAGAATTCATGCTGGCCATCACCTAGAGAAATCCACAAATTTCAATGGGTTAACACAATAAAAAATGTCCTTTTTCTTCATCTTATAGCTACACTGAGCAGGCAGCACCCCAAGGTCACTGCTCCATGGGAAGAGGGGGATGGAGAAGCCACATTAGTTCCTGGCCACCTCAGTCTGGAAGCAACACCTGCTGCCTCTGCTCAGAGTCCATTGGTCAGAACCAGTCATGTGGTACAAACCTAACTGCAAGGGATGTTGGGAAAGGTAAAGCAACACATGACTCCTGGGAACAGTGTTGACCTCAGAATCCATGAGTTTCATGCAAAATTGCATTATGTGAAACTTAACTTGGCTGTAGGCGTACTGTTACCAGATCTTTTCTGAGCAGTTGATCCTAACTTTTTCAAGGAATCATTCAGCCAACACCCCATGGGCCTGAGTCAAGGGTCTGCTACAGGTTATGTTACCACAGCCTGGATTCTGAATCCCAGAAAGATTCAACCCAGAGAGAAGTTCTGAAAAATTTCAGCTCAGCAAGATTTACCTCTTCCTCTGGGCAAGAGATAACTTGTTTATTTCTTTTCTCCAGATGCGACAGAAAGGGTAGAGAGGAACAAAACTAGGGTGAGGGCTGGCATTACCAAAGTGCTCATTAGTGGAAAGGAGCTGGGTGTTAACTCTGAGGGAGGTGGGTGATGACAGTAACAGAGTGGCCAGGTTTGGAGCCTACATTAAATGTGACAACAAGCAAACCAGGAGACAGAGTCAATTCATCACATCTCACCTGAGGGTGTTAATGTCTCTGGGTGACCAGGCCACTTTCCCAGAAGCTTGGGGAACCAGAAAACAGAGAGTCTTGAGTCCAGAAGGGACTCCATAATAGTGGCCAGCCCATTGTCCTCACTCTGAAGTGGTCCAAGTTTTCACATCCATTATCTGACTTAATTACTTGAAGCATCCATGTATATCAGGAGGGAAAAAGACCTTGGTGTCCTCTTGTGTCAGATGGGAAAGAGCCACAAAGAGGACAGTGTCTGGGCTGAGGCCACACAGCCCTGCAGGGAGAAGCTGGGCATGGCCCGTGCAACCTTCTCCCATTCTATCCTCTTCACACACAAAGTGACAAAGACCAACTGCAGTAGTGATAGCAAGCCCTGCTCCACCCTAGAGAGACCCTGTTCTGCAGTGAGGTTAGGGGTCACTTACCTGCCCCTGTCCCTGTACCAGGCAGGGGTGGCTGGCTCTGCAGCACAAACCAGCAAGCCTAATACAGCAGAGGGTTGTACCCGGGCTCTGTGTCCATTGAGTCGGCTAAAACTCTGCCCCATGCATCTGACTGGCACCTTTGCAGATAGGCAGAGAACGCTGGAGGGTCTCACACTGGCAGCCAGAGGTCCAGCCCAGGAACTGTGACGTGCCACTTCTGTTCACCACAAACTGGCTAGAATCCACCACTTAATTCTCCCTGCAAAAGCGCACAGGCCAGGAAGTCAGTGCTGTGACTCTGTCACAAGCAAGAATTTAGACCAGCAACTCTCATGATTGCCTTGATGAGCTTACCAGTGTGGGTAATAGCAATGACACCTTTTAGGAAGTCACAGGGCCCTGGAGCAGGAGCAAAATTGAGAGGAAGGATAAAAATGATGCCTTTAGTAGCACACTGGCCTCATGTGGGCCCCATGGTAGGATCAGTAGGCAGCTTCTAGATCTCCTGTGCGGTGCACATATAGGTACAGGAATGCATTTCCAAGCTGATTTGAACACAAATAGCTGCAGACATCACTGTGTGACAAGCTGGCTACAGACACCAGGGAAAGAACAAGCAACAAAAATAACACAACCTTCACCCCTAGGAGCTCACACCTCAGCCCAGGCACAGATAACTGCGTGACAAACGCCCATCTGGCACAGCATCAGAGCAGAACATTCACAGTGTAGAGAAGCAAAGCCAAGGAAGCCATGGCAGGCAGGTGTGGTCCTGGGGAGGGGACACTTGAATGGCCCTGAGAGGGAAATGTGTAGGTTTGAGATGGACAGAAGCCAGAGCAAAGGGAAGAGCAGGGGCCTGGTAGAATGTGCTGAGCTTGGTCCCTGAAAAGCAAGAGGCCAGGGCGGCTGCAGCAGGGGAAGGGACATGGCCAGTGAGGAGGTCATGGGAGACCAGCTCAGCCCAAGAAGGGATTTTGACTTCATCTGGGTGTGAGGTAACCTGAAATGTTGAGTGGGGACTGAAGTGACCCGGAGGACTGAACTGGAATATGAGGTGACTTTGGCAATGTGTCATCAGCTTCAGATATTTCTGCTCCTAAGCTCTGGCTTTGATACTCAGCATGCAGATGAGCTTGAGCAAGCGATTGCCACTCTGTGCCTCAGTTTCCTTCTCCTTGGGGTTGACAGTTGCACATATTTTTGCGTGGCACTCAATTGAGAAAGAGTAGGTGAAACACCCAGCACAGGGCCTGGTATCCTGTGGACTCTCAGTACAAGACAGTTGCCCAGGCAAATGGCACATGGCTCTGAGGTGGCACCCAAGTTGCCTTTCCTGGATGTGTCTTCCCACCTCCCATTTGCAGGATGGCTACTTTGACACTAATCCCAGCTGCCCAAATCAAGGAGCACTGGACACATATGAACACATTCAAGCTGGTATGCATCAGAAACCCCATGGCCTGAGATTCTCAAACACAATAGTGTTCTCTGAACAGCTTCAAGAAATGTGCTAAGACTAAGCCATCACTTCAACCAACTGGCACCATGGTCCTCTAGTGTCTGCCTAGCAGGTCAGGTGCCTGTGGTGTCAGGTCTATTCTGAACGCTACCATGTCTTTATCAACAAAAGTCTACAGAGAAAATGTGACAAGCCTGAGGACACCAGGAATGGAGTCACCTTTCCGATACTGTGACAAAATACCTGTGATAACCAATTCCGAAGGAGGAAATATTTGTTTCAGCTCTGTTTCAGAGGTTTTGGTCCACAAGCACTTTGGCCCCTTCTTTTGAGCCTGTGTGGCAAGTGAGGTAAGTGAGGTTAAGCAAAGCTGTTCATCTCATGGTGACCAGAAAGTGGAGAGAGAGGTGGGGAGGGACCCAGCTCCCAATGTCCCCTTCAAGGGCACACTGCACACCCTTAGTGACCTAATTCCCTCATGGAGGCCTCACCTCCTAAAGCTTCCACTACCTCCCAACAGTGTCATCAATTAAGGACCAGGCCTTCAATACATGAGCCACTGGGGGACAGTTGGGATATAACCCACGACAGGCTGTTAAAGCTGAGGGCAAATATGAACCCAGGAAAACAAGAGCTGGTCTAACTAGAAAAGAAGCCATCAAGGATTGTGTCCCAGAACTCACCTGAGCAGTCATACAGAAATAAGCTAAATACAAGATATCCTTGGTCGTGTCAACTGCACCCTGAGCTTAAGGGTGCCCTCATATCCCAGTGCTTTCTCAGCCACACCCCATCTCCTCATAACCAAGCACCTAAAGGGTTAATTTTCTGCACCCAACCCATCCTACACCAATTCTTTCTGACTGGTCACTGCCTGTTGGTCTGACTTATCAGAACGTGAATCTCACCCCCTGCTAAAGAATCTGTTTTTGCTTTATTGACACCAATATTCCCTTTCTCTGGAATTTTTGTACCTTTCACTTAAGACAAGCACCACCAGCCTCACCTAGGTGCTTGTGGGTTAAGTTCTAGGAGGTGGGTACATAGCCTCAGCCTGTCCAACTAGAACATCCCATCATTGTAATTGGCTCAGGGATAGGCACATGACTCAGCACTAACCCATGAAATTCTATCCTCGGATTGTTTGGATTTACTGAGAGAGTGACACTCCACCTTGGGCTGAAAAGTCTAGGGGCCTCCAGAAAGAGAAAGCATATTTCATAAAGAAATGAGAAGGAAAAAAAAAAGAGAGAGAGAGAGAAGTGCATTCCTGAAGACCTGGTCTGAACACCTGGACCCACCATACCTGAAAGTTCCATGGACTTTTCAACTTACTAACACTAGAATTCTTCTTTTGCATTTCTTTTCCTTATAAGAAAAAGGGTAATGAATTACTGTCCCTGTGAAGTAGCTTGCCTGCTGCAACTGCGTATCTGGTCATGCACAGGAATGTAAACCCCCTTGCAGAGGTCTCTACTGAGGATGGTCCTTGAGGAGGGCTACAAGAGTCAGGACCATGAGGAGCACAGTAACAGGCTCTGCTCCAGATGCAATTTGCAGAGTCTGAAATCACTCCCTGAGGCAATCTAATTTGAGGTGGCCCAAATTGCAGCAATCACTACAATTTCCTGGAATCCTCTCCACTCACTTTCCAGGGCCAGGGTGTTCATGGACCATGACAGTTCTGTTATCAGGCCTGGCAGGACGTGAGCTGTTCTGTGGCAGCCACTCCAAATGGTAGCAAGGTGGGCAAGAAGGTAATTTTCCTCCCTCCTGCTTCCTGGGGAGCAGCCCTCAGCTGCCACTGGTGCTGCCTGGCGGGAGTGGGGGGTCTGAGGCACAAATGAACCTCGACAGCTAATCATTGCCCAGAGCAGCAGGCCACGGTGATGAGCTCTCCCCACGGGAGAAGCGGCAGCCTCGTGTCCGCAAGCTCCCTGGGTCCCCAGCCTGAGAGCTGTTGGAATCTGCACAGGTGCGGTGAGGCCTCCAGATGCCTCAGGATCCTCCTTTGTCGCAGCCCAGAATGCATCAGCAAAAGATGCTTCCAGACCCATCTGTGCTCACACGTTGAAGGTTAAAGGTTAGATGAAGTAGAATCTATGACCTCTGAATGACCCAGTCACCAACCTCCCCTTCTACATGACGAGCCCCTTCCTCAAAGGTGGGGACATGTGTACTCACTCTGACCCCTCAAGGTCCTCACAGGGCCAACAATCAGGAGAGGCTTGCTACATCTTTGCTGAAAGACTGAATAAGTGAAAAATAACCCAACTCAGAGACCCTCACTTCACAGGTGGGGAAACTGAGGTCAAGAGAAAACACATAACTCATTTACAGCCTAACAGCTGCAAAGCAAATGGGTGAGGTGACCATGTGCCACGCTTGCCCTGGGTAGTCCAGTCTATGCCTACTACCCTGGTGTAACCATGTACAGTGGTTCCTTTCAGTTTCAAAAGGGTCCTCATTTGGACAGATCTAAGATCACAGTGTCAGCTTCTCATCACTCCGACAAAATACCTGAGTATAACAATTTAAAGGAGGGAAAGTTTATTTTCAGTCACAGTTTCAGTACATTGGCTGCTGGCTCCATTCTTCTCAGGCCTGTGGTAAGGCAGAAACACCATGGTAGAAGACCATCATAGAGGAAAGCTACCCACCTTGGAGAACTCAGGATGCAGGGGACAGGAGAAAAGCCAGACAGACAGACAGACAGACAGACAGACAGACAGAGACAGAGACAGAGACAGAGACAGAGACAGAGACAGAGCAAGACACAAAGAGACAAAGACAGAGAGACAGAAAGAGAACACTGCACACCCCTAAAAGTGTACACCCCTACCAACCTGCTTGAGAAAGGCCTCACTACCTAGTAACCCATTCAGCTATGAGTTCATCAGTGAATTAATCCATTAGTAAGGCAACAGTCTCCTGATCCAATTACTTGTCCAGGCCTCCCCCACCCCCAAATATTACTGTGAGAGGAATTAAGAACTCCATACCCAAGTCTTTGGGGTCTTCATGAGTCTTTATGAATTTTATGCTTAATAACAGGCTTGGTGGCACAGGGCTATAATCCCAGCACTCTGGAAGCTGAGGCAGAAGATCACTGTGAGTTCAAAGCCGGGCTGAACTACATAGCAAGACCTTGTCTCAAAAACTAAAATAATAGTAATAAAGTATATTTTTTCCCCTGTGAGTGTGACCTCTGGAGAGAGCAAGGACCAGCACATACAGGCTGTTCCTCTTCCTTCGCCCCCATCCTACCTGGTTCTCCCCACTTGCCAGGCTGTCAGATGCTCATAGGTGCACCATGACAAAGCTGTGCGGTGGCCAAGTAGGATCTGAGAAGACTGATTTAAACAACAATAAACCTATTTCCTTGCCACAGGCTTTCTCAATGTCCTTAAAATGTTTATATGAACAGCAAGAATAAAGAAAATGCTCTCCTAAAACAGCACAACTGCAGAAAGAAGGAGTTGTGGGGGAATAAATCTTCAAGCTATTTCCCTTAGTTTATTCCTTTACCAAACAAGTAGTTTACTCTGCCTCTGAATGTTATCCAGTTAACAGGGGGCAGGGGAAAAAAAAGCCCACACACAAGCAATTTATAATATTAAAGCACAGAAGCTCAAAATAGATGGCTCTTTGCTCAGTCAAGCAAGGCAGGGGCTTTGATTATGCAAACAGGGGCCTGAAGCTCAATGTGGGGGTGGTTAGAGGTGGAGAGAGAAGAACATACACAGAAGGAGATGGGTACAACTTAGCAGGAAACAAAAGTTATAGGAAGCAGTGAACAGAAGAGCCCCAGCCAGGGGGAGTCTGCAGACTTCTTAGGGATCCAGTGGCTCCTGCACAGAGCGCGAGATGGGGCTCAAGCCATTTTGGAAGACATGAAGAGTGACAACAGGGAGCTGGAAAGCTTGGGATATTCCAGCTAGTCACATTCTGAGTCTGCAGGGTTACAATGGTACATCAGACGCACAAGTCTTCCCATTCTTCCTGCTTCTGCCACGTAGCCTTGCTGAGGACTGGAATAGACCATGAAGTGTTGGTTGCCTGTCACATGACTTGCTTTGCCAATGGATTGTGGGTAGAAGTGGCCATCCCAGTTTCAAATGGAGGCCTTAAGAACTACAGGTGGGCAGCTGGAGAGATAGCTTAGCAGTCTAAGCACTGCCTGACAAGCATAAGGACTCGGGTTCAATCCCCGATAACACATGCCATGCCAGTCTCCCGCTGTGGTAGCCACTGAAACTGGGTATTGTGGTGCACGCCTATAATCCCAGTGCTTGGGAGGCTGAGACAGGAGAATCACTACTTGTCTGAGCTATATATTTTGAGACCCTGTACCAAATAAATAAACAAGACTTTTTAATTAAAAAAAAAGAAAGAATTACAGGGGAAATGGGGCCTGAAAGATGGCTCAGAGGCAAAAATGCCTGCCTCACAAGCGCAAGGTACTAAATTCAATCCCTGATACTTAAAAAAAAAAAAAAGAATTACAGGGACCCTTGGGAGTGAGAGAGCAGGAGAGAAAACAGTAGGAAAGGAGGATCTTGAAGAACCCAACAGTGCTGTGTGTGAGGAGCTGGCCCCAGCTCCCAGCTGAGCATGTATGAAACCAACTCCAAACATCAGAATCAAGCATCAAAACTGACCTCAGAGTAGTGCATCCTGGGAGACATGCACATGAGGGACCATCTTAAAAATATGAAAAAGTCTTTAAAAACTGAAAAGAAATGGAAACAACAGCCCAGAGAAGGTAAATCCGGTCTTGTGCCTCAGACCTTTCTAAATTGGTTGCCTACTTAGAAAAAAATACATCAACATTCTTCACAAGGTTTTAACAGGAGCCCAATTTTCAAAATGTTCCAGGTATAATCCAAAATCACTCCATATACAAAGAATGAGGAAAATCTCAATGATTTATGAGGCAAATGATAATTGACAGATCCCAGCCCCAAGATGAAAGAAATACTGAAATTATCAAAGACTTTCAAAGAGCCATGAAATAGGGACATACTTTAAAAATGCAAACACAGACATTTCTAGAAAAAAAAAAAACAAATATAGCCTATTAACAAAGAAACAAATGGAAATTTTTAACTGAAAAAACAACTGAAATTTATGGATTGATTTTTTTTTCATCTTTAGGACAGGGTGCACAGGGTATGCAGGGTCTCACTGCATAGATCAAACTAGTAGTGAGTCACAGCATGCCCCAGGGGCGGGGCCAGTATGGGCAGCCCCACGGATTGAACTCCCAAGCCCCTGCACCTGCTTATAAGCGCTTTAATCCAGTGAGCTATTTGGCCAGTCCTATGGATTTGATTTTTTTTTAAGTAGCTATAATAGCAGGGTGAATGAACCTGGAAATAGATGAATGTATGCTATCCAATCTGAGTAACAGAAGGAAAAATGATAAAATAATGTATAGGACTTCAGGAAACTGTGAGTTATCATCAAGAGCTCTAACATTTGTGTCTGTGGAGGCCTAGAAGGACAGGAGAAATATTGATGCAGAAAGGATTTGAAGAAATAGTGAATGAAAACTTCCTAATTTTGAAGAAAGGCATTATTTTGTGGATTGAAGAAGTTCAACAAACTCCAAATAATAAATTCCTCAAAGAAACCCAAGACTTGACATATCATAATCGAACTAATGAAAACCAAATAGGAAGAAAAAAAATCAGAAAACATCCAGAGAAAACCAGCAATGTTAATATAGAAGAGGGGCATACCTATGACTGCAAATTTCAAACCAGACCCTATAGAGACAAAAGACAGTGAAAGGTTTTTAAAGTTTTGGGGAAAAAAATAACAATCAACTTCAAAGTTCTGTATCTAGACTACTTATTTCTGACAGGCAAAAAATATCCTTCAGGAGAAAAAGCAAAATAAATATGATCTCAGATGAAGTGCCTCCTTAGGCAGAGTGCAGTGGCCAGGGTTCAAGGTTGAAAGAAGGAGGAGAAGGAGGGGAAGGGGAAGGGGAAGGAGGAGAAGGAGAAGGAGAAGGAGAAGGAGG